GCCCACTTTTGCTCTATAACAAGGCCCTTGAGAGACTTTGTGGCATCTGATGTCTGAGGCATGCAGCACTGAAAGATCTACATGCCTAGAGGGACAAGGTTGTGTGAGGAGGAAATAAGCATTATTCTTAGCCTGGGATCTAAGGTTGTGACTTGGAAGATTCAGGTCCTAGCCCTCAGTGAGCCACGGAAGCTCACAGGATGGCCTTGAGCCCATCACTCTTTCTCAGCTGTACCTACCTCGCAGGATCGTTGTGAGGAAGAGAATTGTACATGACACCTTAAATTTTTGGGATAGGATTCCATGTAAGTAGTAAATAATTCCTCAACATTTCATGTGTTGGCAAGGGCCAGGTGGAGTCTCTGTCAAACAACTTCTGATAGGTCACGAGGTGCCCACTTTTTTGCCCAGCCCGGCTTTTAAGCCAGAAACAGAGGTGGGCCATCTGCACAGTTGTACCTGTGCAGACTCCAGGTGAGGGCTTACTTGACATTCTCCACGGGGAAACACTTTCTATAGGAAAACAAGAACATCTCAAGGAAAAGACTAAACCAGAACATTTCTCCTTGAAGCACTAGCTTTATAGATGCAGGGATTTTTTTTAAAAAAAATACAGTGAAACAATAAGAAAATGGCCAAGAAAATTTCAGGGTATCTGCAGAGAGACAAAATGTCCTTGGTGAGTATTGCTGAGCAAACCGTCGCATGTACATCCTTCTAAAACACAGGGAGGAAAACATTTACCCTTTGAATAATTTGAATTTTTAGCTATATGGGCTGGGGATTTTTGAGAGAGCAACATATTTGGAAGACCAAAGATTCCCCAAAGCAACCCTAAATCTGATGCTTAAAATCAGAGACAAGAACCTCCTCATCAGCAAACAGCAAATGTGGTGTGGTGATTGATTGATTGATTGATTGATTGATTGATTGATTGATTGATTGATTGATTGATTGATTGATTGATTGATTGATTGATTGATTGATTGATTGATTTAGCCTCAGTTCTTTGATTTTGGGCAGCATTTCAAATAACTTCATCTGTTGTTCTCTAAAAAAAATTAAAAGAGCATTACATTAAAGCCGTAAATTGGATTTTGGAGTAATATAAGAGGGTGATGTCTGTCTTCTGGATGAGGCCTCCCTCCTTCACAAAAGGATCTCACATCTAATGTCATTTTGCCTGTTCTTTGTGGTTCCCAGAAGCATTCGGAAATGGCCACAACACAAACAATGGAGTTTTTGCTGGCACCCTCACAGAGCGACGAAGGAACAACAGAGTTCCTTTGGAACATGGCTAAAAGAGCTAATGTTTATGTTGGTCTTCTGAAGGATCCAAAATGTTCAGTTTTGGGAGGAACATGGCTAAAAGAGCTAGTGTTTATGTTGGTCTCCTGAAGGATCCAAAATGTTCAGTTTTGGGAGAGGTGTTGGGGTTTTTATTTCTTGTATGCATGGGGGAGGAATGATAACCATCTCAATGAAGGTACACAATGCCTTATGAACACCATGTGGGTGTTACTCATCACCATGTTTGTATATTAAAACTTTTGACCTGTCTCTTTCTGGTTTTACACATGTGGGAACCTTGTCTGGTGTTGAAGTGGAGAGGGAAGAAATCCAGGAATATATTAGGAGCAGAGAAGGGTTTATCCAATTTTCATTGGATGTTGCTTTTCTCCCCTCTGACTGAACATCGGTCCTCAGAGGTTGGGGAACTGGGCTTATTTTGTTTCTCCACAACATTTTTAGACACCCACTGTCTATTCCCTATGACGTGTGAATGTCTGTTTTGAGTTGGATGCTAGATTTATCACTACTAGCTTCCCGTTCCGTTTTCAAGTAAACTTGCCAGTTCCTCTAGCCCAGATCTTGCTGTGCAGCCACGCAAATGGGATAACAAAACTTGCTGTGCAGCCACGCAAATGGGATAACCTTTGATGGCCTATAAAGGTAAAAGTAAAGGTTAGCCCTTTGACATTTAGTTCAGTTGTGTCCAACTCTAGGGTGCGGTGCTCATCCCCGTTTCCAAGCCGTAGAGCCAGCGTTTGTCCATAGACAGTTTCTGTGGTCACATGGCCAGCACGATTAGACACGGAATGCCATGACCTTCCCACCGAGGTGGTACCTATTTATCTACTCGCATTTACATGCTTTCGAACTGCTAGGCTGGCAGGAGCTGGGACAAGCAATGGGAGCTCACTTTGTCGCGTGGATTCGATCTTACAATGGCTGGTTTTCTGACCTTGCAGCACAGAGGCTTCTGTGGTTTAACCCGCAGCGCCACCACGACCCGTATTGATGGCCTATAGCTCCAAGTTAAGAAATCACCATAGGCATTATCCATCACATACCGAATCGTACAACTCATGATGCATCTGGTAATCTTAATGGTGATTCTCGCATTCCGAATCGTACAACTCACGATGCATCTGGTAATCTTAATGGTGATTCTTTAACTTTAAGGCAATTCGCCCCTAAAAGCTACACCACTTGTGTAAACCAGGCAGGAGGATTTGGGCCATTACTGTTTCTCCTGCTGGTATATATATTTTTCTTCAAGGTGCGTAAAATGACTTCCACAAAAAAGCAGAAACACCTCTTATGGGCCCTCCTTCTCTGTGTGAAAGGAGTTCCTTATTTGTATTCATACATTTAACAAATGTTTTTCGGCAGTGTGATATTTAAAAATCGGTGTGCGTTTTCCTTGTAGTTCAGAAGCTGGAACAACTGCAAGCCACACACATGTTGCTCAGCATTCCGGCTCTCTTGCTACAAGCTGAATCAAAGAATGGAGAAAATTATTTTGGTGGCTATACAATTCCCAGAGTTTAGAGGGTACGAGTTCAATTCCCCACCATGTCGCCTATGAGTAGAACCAGCCTATGTGGCCTTGGGTAAGGTGCACAGTTCCAGAGTGCCCCTAGAGGAAGGGAAGGGTAAAGCACTTCTGAGGATTCTTTAGCTCAAAAAGGGTCACCATAAGTCAGAATCGACTTCACAGTGCATGGTTATTATCATTACAACTCCCAGAATCCTCCAGCCAGCATGATGACTGCCCATGGGGGATTCTGGGAGTCTAAACTGCCTTTTGAAGCTGAAGCTCCAATACTTTGGCCATCTCATGAGAAGAGAAGACTCCCTGGAAAAGACGCTGATGTTGGGAAAGTGTGAAGGCAAGAGGAGAAGGGGACGACAGAGGACGAGGTGGTTGGACAGTGTCACTGAAGCGACCAACATGAATTTGACCCAACTCCGGGAGGCAGTGGAAGAGGGGAGGGCCTGGCGTGCTCTGGTCCATGGGGTCACGAAGAGTCGGACACGACTAAACGACTAAACAACAACAAACTGCCTGTCCCATGCAAGTAACTTTGCAAAGATCTGATTTTCACCTGCTGAGGCAACCATAAGAAATTACATGGAGGCTTTTTCCCCCCCTACAAAGCCTGCTTTAATAATAAGTGTGAGGAATTATAATATTTTTGCACTAAACAGCGTTCTGGGGTCACGTCTTGCAAAGGTATTACAGCCTCTACCACAGTATCTCTTCATAACAACATACAGTATATTCTCTGAGATGTACAGCAAGCAAAAGTATGACTCATGAATCCAGCTGGAGAAATGGTTCCCAAAGCTTCTCAAAAAAAACCATCACCAAGCACGCCTGATTTATTTGCATAGTCTGGTGAAGCCTTGTTTTATGCAAATGTTTTAAATACATAAGAAGGGAATCATTAATGTATGTATAAATAAGGAACAAAACACAGCGCTTCTGCAATTTTTATCATCCACCCCTCATCCTTTTAATACTTTTGTTGAGGAGTCCAACTACAGAGGACGTCAGATCTTGTTTCCTGAGGTGCTCTCTCAAATGCTGAAAGACATCTGTTTATTAACATAAGCGATTTTCTTCTTCTAGGTATCTTGCATATAGTGTGCTTTATTGTGTGATGAATCACTAAATGTGGGCTTCCAAGTTAGATTGCTGAAGAACTGTCATTACTGATTACATGGAATGTTTGTTGCTCCCCCTTTATGGGTTTAATGTCTAGTTTGATCCCTTTCAACCTCTCAGCCTCTCTCTCTCTTTCCCCATTATCTCTGAAAAACCAGTTTTTCGTCTTCGTTATTCAGCTTCGCATAACAGACCTAGAACTAACTACTGTTTTCTTTTTTGGCAAGAAAACTTTATTTTACCAGCAAGAGGACTGAGAAAAGAATTCAACAGGTGCAGTTTGTCTCTTATGATAACTCCACAGGGAGGAAACCCGTGTTTCTCTGAATTTCTGCCTTACTCTTCGCTACATAAAAGACTTCACCTACCCCCTGGCAGGTGGAGGGAATGATACGGTGGGGGAAAGTTCAGGGCTTGTCATGGGAATTTAAAACAGAACCACATCAACAATGAACTCTTCAAAAGTCAAATTTATCTTCAATTGTAAATGTTTAAAAAACAACAACCACAAAATATCTAAAATTACAGTTGAAGAAAATGTACAAAAATCATAATAAAATTGCTTTACACAGTTTCTTTTTTTTATATAATTATTTTAAACAATGCACAGGGTAAGAAAGTGAGAGACCCAGAATAAGAGACCATGTTAACAAGGAATAATAAATAAACAGTTCTAAAATTTAAAAAAGGGAGAGAAAAGCAATAGCTATCAATAATATGTTTGAAAAGCACCTCCATTTTAACTGGAACACTCCGGCCCTCACTTGCTAAATGTTCTCTGCAGTGAAAATGTAATAAAATACGGGATGCTGATAGCCAGGAGAAAAATGATTCCAGCCCCATCTTCTTGAATTGAAAGATGGCAAGAGTGTGGGGTTTTTTTGGGGGGTGTAGGACAGTGAGTGGGAAGAAGAGAGAATAGAAGGTGAGGAGCCAAATGTACAAATGCATGAGTGTAATTTTCCAAAATATTGGATCACTAATCTTTGGTTGCCTTCAGTTTCTGTCCGTTTTGCAGCTTGACCACTTGACCGTGGATCGCTGGTAGACCCAGAAGGCTGGATCTTGGCTTGTTGGTGGCAAGCTGATTCTTACGAGGAGTCTTTAAATGATTAAAATGCTCTTGAAACCACCCCATATATTTCTCATTTCCTCTTTTTCTTTCACCTGTGGGAGATGCGCTGAAATCCAGGTCTAAATTGCGGTGATGACGTTCTTCAAGAAACGGATGTGAACGTAGAGCCTCCACTCAAGCACACGCTAGGACTTCCATTCCAAACATGTTACACAAGCTTAAAAGTTTTCCCAAAACCATCCTGTAAATTTATCTAACACCATCCCAATCCAGACAGGGCTTATTCTTGAAGATGCCGGGTTTAAGTGAGTTGAGTGAGTCCTTTTCAAACCAGTCCGGGTTCAACCAGCTAAACTTCCTGGTTTGTAGGGAGCGATCTCTTGCTTAAGAAACCTGCTCATTTCTTTGCTGGCTTGGAGTTGCTAAAAGTCACAAAGACCACCCCTGTTTCCTGGGGGCCACCGTTTGAGGGGAAGTCCTCTGGGCAGTTCAGGTATCTGCGGAGGATGGGAGAAGCGGTCACCTCGTATCGGGTAGGGCACGAAACCATGTCACACGTGGAGGAAGTCTGGGTCTCTGACTGCTTGGTGACGGTGGTGGAAGAGGTGATGATCTTGTTTCCAAACTCATCCACTTCTTCATACTGCTCGGTCACCGTTCTGGTGGCTCCGTACAGCTTCGATCCATCAGGGCTTGTCTGAAGTTCTAGGATGCTCTTCTGCCTCCTTGGGTTTGATGGACTCAATGCACTCAGGGTTGCTTTGGGCATATAGTCCGTTCCTACTCCTTGGGCCAAACTTTGAGATGCTCGCTGTTCTTTATCCCCGTTGCTGCTTAGGTGTTGCTGGAGAGGCTCGGGACTGGCAAGAAGTTGTTGCTTGATTAAACTCACTCCTTTCTTCATCTGGACCGTCTGCTGCTCTCCGTCGCAGAAAACCAAGCCGCGGCCATCGGACCTGATCGATTGATGGGGCAAGGAGCTAAAGAGGTCCAGAGCAAACTTTTCATTTCCCGTTGCCAGCTGAGTAGGGGTTGATGCGGGAGAGCATCCCATTTGAGGCGACTCTCCAGTTTTCCGGGCCGCGGACTGAATGGAGATGAAGGAAGGGGAGGAAGGAGAACTTGCACGGGGCTGAATGATATGAGGAATCTCTAGTTCCATTCTGGGCATCTCTTGCTTTTCTACCACCGTTTCACCTTCCCAGGTTGAGCTCTGGATCCCCCTCTCTTGTTTGGCTTTGCTCGACACGATGCTGATCTTGCGGATGTTGTTGCCGGACGTTGTGAGGCTCTGGGGATTCCCAAGAGACTCTTTGAGAAGTCCTGAGAGCCCGGCGAGGTCCGATTCGGATTTCAAGCTTGAAATGGAGCACAGGGCTTTCCGAATGGCCTCTTCGATGTCCATCAGCCTGCTCAGCGTCTGCTCCTTTAAATGAACGATTTCAGCACTGGCTCTCTCTAGATCTTCGAAAGCTAACTCCACAGAGGAAACGCTGTCCGTCTCTTCCTTGACTTCCCTCATTTGCTCGGGCTTCTCCAACTTAGGATGCTTCGTTTGGTGAACGTTGTGATGCCCAACCCAATCCGGGACATCCTCAAACAAACTTCTCAGTGCTTTCACATCCACTTTAGAGGTCTCCTCCTCAAACTCTTTCACTCGGGTTAGAATTTCTTGGAGTGCCTCTTGTTTCCTCAGGTTCTCAAATATCTCCATGGCTTCCTTAACGTTGCCTTTCATGATCTCCTCCTTGTGGACAGACAGTCTCTTGAGACGTTCATCTTCGGTTTCTCTGCAAGGTTTCTCCCGCATGACCACCAGTGGCTTTTCCTTCTCTGCGTTTTGCTCAGTTTTCGTGCCGGGGTCTTCTAACCCTTTGCTGTTCACACATTCATGCCCTTTAAAGAACTGCTTTGATTGAAAAGATGTGGAGAGGGTGACTTCTGACTTCTCCTCTTCTATATTCGGTCTTGCTGTCTGGTGATCCTTGCAGCCGAAGGCTCCAGGTACACCGATACATTCCGCCTTTGATGATGAAGCGTGTGTCGTGGTCGCTCCTTTCCTCAGAATATTCGCGTGGGATTTTGCAGAGAGATATGGCTTCCTCTGACTTTCCTGGTTAGCCAGGCTTGTTTGGCAACCAAGAAGCAGCGAACAGTCCTGCCTACCAGGTAGGACATTTGTGTTTTCTTGTTGGCATGATTCCACAACTCCTTCAACTTCCTTCTTCGGAGGGCAGTTGCCTCCATCACAGCCAGCTAACCCATTCTTCGTTGCCTGCGATGAAGCCTTGGGGTCAGATCCTTCCCCTTTGCACTGCTCTTCTTTCCCCGCCTTATATTTTGCTTCTGCTGCTTGCAGCGGTGTCTTGATGGGAGCCCTCGTGGCCTTGCCCTCACAGCTGAAGTCCTGAACGGGAGTGGCAGCTGAAGATGAGAGAGAAGGTCCGTCTGTTGAAGGCAGCCTAGCTGCTGATTGCTCCCACAGTTCATCCCCCCTAGATGTCCTTGTTTGGTTCATGACGGGCAGAGTCCTTGGCTGGTCCTTCTGCGCCATGCCTGGAGCTTTAGGAGGTGGAAGCTGGGGCGTTGCCTTTCCTGAGGGCCCCTCGTTGGAGCTCACGGAGTGGGAGGGTCCTTCCTTCATTGGGTTGTCTGGTTTTGGAGGTAGAACTGGTTTTTTCCTTGGTGGGGGAATAACGTCGGGCTTCGGGGGAAGCTGTGGCTTTTCTAAAGACCTCTGACTGCTTGGTTTGGCTGGGGCTGGAGGGAGAGTTTTAGGAACGTTTGGTTGCACAGAACCCCCAGGAACTTCAGCGTCTCTCATTTGGGTTGAGGGCAACGGGCACCCGGTTCCCATCACTGAAGCTGGAGGAGGGGGAGGAAAATCGTTAACAGCCTGTGAGCCTGAAGCCATTACACCAGCTGCCTGGTTACTAACAGACTGAGTCTCGTTTTTCTGTTTACCACTGGCATAGGACCGCCCTGCATTCCTGTATATCATAGCCGCTTTAAAATCTCCTTTGGAGACATTAACGTTAGACTTTTCCAGGGACTGGAGCGTGGCTTCTAAGTTGCCGCGGACCACGTCCTCTTTGTCTACTTGCCTCTGTTCTGTGGCGGCACTCTGCAGGGCTTGGATAGCTGTCTTTACGTCCCCTCTGATTATAACATCTTGCTCTCGTTCTTCTGGAACGGAGTGCTCTTTGTAATCGGACTCAATGAACGGGTTTACATAGGGCTTCACCGGCTTGCCGGTATAAAGGCCGTCCTTAATACTAAGATCTGTGCCAGGCACAAATTGGCCCTCCTGGCCGGCTGCAGAGGGCAGCGGGCCTCCCTGTCCTTCCTCAGAAGCACTGACCTTTGTGTGTGACACCGTGCTCTTCTGAGACACCTTGGTGTCAGATCTGGAGGACTCCTGTACTCTGATGCAGGCGACGCTGCCAGCTGGCTGGGCCTTGGCATCGATGTGGTCCTGCACGGAGGTCACCTGGGACTGGGTGGTGGGGAACTGAACCTCTCCAGAGGTCTTCTGCACCTTGCTCTGGAACTGGTGCTGGAGCGTTTGAGCCTCTGCGGTGGCCACTCTGAGACTCTGCATTGCAGCTTGAAGATCACTGCCGAGGGCTCGTGTCTGGGGCTGGGTTGTCCCCTGGCTTTCGCCTCCGGGAACAGCCTCACCCGAAACCTCCTTCCGATGTGCTGCTTTGCTGGCCGTTGATCTCTCCTTCCTCTCCCCCAGGAGTAACTTCTCTTCTGCCACTACCCGATGGCTGCCATTCTGTGTTTTTTGCATGGACTGGAGAGGCGATGGGCCGTGCCCAGAAAGTACATTTTCTTTGGCTACCGCTGAGGGTTGGGATTGCACAAAGCAATATTCAGTAGATACCTTGTCCTTTGCATGCACTGCCTCCCTTTCTAATGCCCCTTCTCTGCTGTCGCACAAGATCACATGTTTAGCCCCATTGCTACTCCCTAAGACCACATCGGCTGTTGTTGTCACTCGTTTTCCCTCCTGCGGCTGGGCTTCTTGCGCCATTCTAGTGGGCTCCTCTTTGGCTTGGGTGGAAGCTAGAGATTCTATCTCCGATTCCCTTTGGAGGTTCTTTAGGTAATCAAGATCTCCCTTCTCGATGCAGCTGGTGTACAGCTGGACGTTGCCTTTTTCATTGTCCTCCCGTCTGATGGTCGACGCTGTCCGGTGCTCTTGCGAAGAGGCTAGCAGGCTCCCAATGGTGGATTTTACATCGCCCTTCACCAGCCGGCTCTCTCGAGCAACACAACGAAGGAGCGAGTAAATCGTTATCTTGGCTGACCCCCTCTCCGTCTCCTGCATGATTATTCCTTTCTTGACTGAAGCATCTGGACTAAGAAGTTCCTGGAGAGCCTTCACGACGTCATCCTTCAAGTCCTCGTTGCTCTTTTCAGCTTGGCGAGGGTCCAGCAGCTGCACGGAACTGATTTTGAGGTCCCCGCTCTCCTCCTCCTGGACCAACGTGCCGTGTGCCTCCACGTTCGTCCTCTGAAGTAGGTGCAACAAGATTCTTTGCAGATTTCCCCCCATCACCTCTTCCTTTTGGATTTCCGGGTTTCTTTGAGTATCCAGTTGATATTTTGCCATCTTTACACTTTTGGTATCATGGCTTTCGATCAAGATGCCGTCGTGCTGAATCACTTGATAGGAAGAAAGAGCTTCCAGGGTGTCCGTTACGGTCCTCTCTTTCACTTCCGTTTCTGTGCCCTTTTGGGTGGCGCTGAGTTTATCCAGAGGCGTGCTTTCAAATAACCACGTGGTGCTCTTCACTTTGGCTGGAGGAACCACCTCGAGGGGTTCAGTGCTTGCGGAAGCCTCAGCATCTTTCAGGCTGTCCATGGGCTGACTCTCAAACAACCAAGTGGAGCGCTTCACATCCCCTTTATGGATATCCTCTCTTTGCACAGTGGTAAGGCCGGAGGTGCTTTCAGGTTCTCCTTTCAGGGAATCAATGGGGTGGTTTTCAAACAGCCAGGTAGATGTCCTTACATCGCCTTGCTGAACATCACTAACACTGACTGTTCTCACATACTTCTTTTGACTCAGTGGCTCTGACTCAAAGTGTTGTTTACTAGACCGGACATCTCCCTTCTGGACATCATCGATGGTCCTCAACACAGGTTTCTTTTCCTCTGCAATGGAATCCAGAGGTTCTGTTTCGAATCTCCACCTGGCCGCTTGGATGTCACCCTTCTTAAAATCCTCTTGGGTGACAGCCCTGATCACAAACACCTCCTCGTCTCTCTTGATCTGATCCAGTGGTTTGGTCTCAAATTGCCACCGGGCACCCTTCACATCGCCTTTCATGATTTCTTCCTTCTTCACAGATGTGACCTCGTGGTATCCCCCCTCTTTGTCCTGGATGGCATAAAGAGGCTGAGTTTCAAACTGCATGGTGCAAGATCTGACATCAGCTTTGTTCATGGTCTCCTCTTGGATCTTCTTGATTTGCATCTCGTTCTCTCTGTCATGGATCTGACCTAAGGAGTAGGTTTCAAAAATAAATCTTTTGCCTCCAACGTCTCCTCCCTGGACGTCTTTTTCAAGAGGCACTTCCTGGATACCCTCCACGTTGCTCTTCAAGGTATCCATGGGACAGTTCTCAAAAAGCCAGGTGAATTTGTGCACTGCTCCTTGTTCAATGTTCGAATCAGCTGGAATATCTGTTTCTTTCACAGCGGTGCTTGGCTTACGAGATGAATCCAAGGGTTTGGCTTCAAAGAACTCCTTCACCCTTGATACTTCTCCAGACTGTATCTCCACATGACTGGAGTATCTGACCACCTTTTTTGAATCACGGTCACTAATGACATTATTGGCGAGGGGTTCGGTCTCAAAAAGGTGCCTGACTGTTTTCACATCTACCCCTTGCAATTCGTTCTGGCAGAAAGCTTTGGTGACCTGCAGATGTTGCTCCTCTTGGCCTTTTAAGGAATCCAGAGGCTGTGTCTCAAACATCCAGGTACAGGTCTTCACATCGCTGTGTGGCACAGGCTCTTCCTTCTCCTGCTTCTTCCCATCTTTCTCATACAAAGCGTCCATCGGCTGTGTCTCGAACAACCACCGGCAGGTCTTCACATCACCCCCAAGGGAAACACCTCCTTTCTCAAAGTCATTCTGTTCGGTTGGGTTTATCTGACTGTGGATGACATCTATCGGCTGAGTTTCAAAAAGCCACTTGGCTGTCTTAACATCTCCAGCCACCACCTCCTGCTTGGTGATTCCCTTTATGACATCCACTTTTTGAATGCTCTCGTCAAATTGGTCCAGAGGTTTGGTTTCAAACATCCATTTGTAATTCTTGACATCTCCACCCATCACTTCCTCTTCTCGGCTCACCGAAGTGACTCTGTGGAAATTTCCAAAGCTGTCTTTGATGGCGTACAACGGCGTTGTCTCAAAGAGGAACTGGTTGGCTTTGACATTCCCATGTAGAATTTCTTGCACTTCTTTGATTGCCTCTTCGGTGCTCACCTGTCTAATGCTGTCTAACGGGATCGTCTCAAAGAGACTCTTGAAGGCCTTCACATCCCCTTTTTCCACCTCTTGTCTGTTAACGGCCAATACATCTTCAGAAGGGGATTTGGCAATGCTGTCCAGTGGGCAGGTTTCAAAGACATATTTAGTTTGCTTCACAGCTCCTTTCTCATCCTCGGCCAGTTCTACCTTCTTCAAATGGCCAACTTCAAAATTATCCTTCAGCGTTTCCATGGGTTGAGTTTCGAACAACCAGAGAGTGGATCTCACGTCTCCTTTGATAACTTCTTCTTTGACCGGGACGTCGGCAGAAGCTTCCCCTTTCAGACTGTCGAGAGGGTGTGTCTCAAAGAGCTGGCATTGCTTGCTAACATCCGCCCCTTGGATAAGATCGGGAGAAGCCTTGAAGTCTGCTTCTTCTACAGTCAGTTCTCGGATGGCGTCTAGAGGCTGAGTCTCAAATAGCCATTTCGCTCCACTGACATTGCCTTTCGCCACCTCCTCTAGTGATATCCCTCGAATGACTTGCACTTTGGACGGGTCCTTGTTGATGGTGTCCAAGGGTTGGGTCTCAAAAAGCCAGCGAGCTGTCTTCACGGCATTGCTCTGTATTTCTTCTCTGCACACAGATTTGATCTCATGCATGTTCCCGTTTTTGTCCCGGATGGCGCAGAGGGGTTCCGTTTGGAAGAGTTTGATGGTTTTCTTGACATCACCCTTGAGCTCCTGGATTTCCGACTTCAGTTGAAGGATGCTCTGCTCTTCCACTGAACTACAGCGGCCCAAGGCATCTAAAGAGTAAGTTTCAAAAAGTTGAGCGGCTCCTTTCACATCTCCTTTCTGGACCGGCTCTTTGAGGACCGCTTCTTGCAAATCGGTCTCATCCAAGTAAATTTTGTTCAAAGAATCTAGTGGCTGGGTTTCGAACAGCCAGCGAGCGGTGTGTACGTCCCCTTTGGCTTGTTCTGTCTTGGATGCGGTCACTGGAGTGTGTGCCTTCTCTCCATTGGGCAGCTGGCCTTCAAACCTCATGGACCTGGTCTTCACATCTCCACTTGGGATGGCTTCCTCCTCGGTCAGCTTCTTGGTGGCCTGCCGTTCTCCAATGGAGTCTAGGTTCCAGTTCTCAAAGATCCAGCGCATGGACTGAACCTCCCCGGGAACCACTGTGTCTTGATTCCCTGAAGCCTGCGCACCGGGGTCCTCTGCGCTGAGCACCTCCGCCAGATCCTCTGTTACAGCCTCTTCCAAATTTTTCCGGAGTTCGGGATGCATGTGACGGTAAAGCCGCTTCAGTTCATTCACCTGGCGCTGTTGATAGAACTTGGAGAAGGATTCCTTTGGTGGAGGGAGAGGCACTGGGTTTGAATCCTGAGGTCCAGGAATCGGGGCTGGAGTAGCCTCTTGAGGGGGAGGAGGAGGAGGAGGGGGTAGTGGCAACTCATCAGCCTTCTTGGGGTTGGTTCTAGGAGCCATGCCATTCCGAGACTCTGCCATCTCTGAGGGAATAGTGTTTTAAATGTCAGCATAATCTTTCCAGCAACATCTGGGTTGTTAGTGTTAAAGAAAGGCCATGCAAGAGCTTGAGTTAATACGCCGATGTGCATGTTTACCTCTTCCCTCCAAAGCACGGCAAGCATCACTCCACTGCAAAGTCTACCACGACATATCACCATCGGCGTGGGATTAATGGGGTTAAGAACGCTCTATTCCAAGCAAGAGATGGAAAACCACGACCAATCCAGACAATTGTAGTTAATGGAGTCTCTTAATCCCTATATGTGTGTTTCACAAGGGAGTTAACAAATGTTATCAATTCTGGCTGGTGTTAGCAGGTAATAGAGACCTTAGTGATGATCTCAGATAGAAGCATGTAAGGAGAGATAGGAAGGGTGCATGCTGCTCCCATCCTGCACCCCTGCTTATAGGCATACAGCTGCCATTTGCTGCTCCTGAGTACGTCCCCCGATCTCCTACGCAACATACATGCTTGGGATAGTTATGGGACTTTCTGGTACGAGTTGTATTTATGGTGTACAGTAGGCAACAAGAAACAAACTCATAAGGTTGGTTGAATCCTAGAATCCTAGAGTTGGAAGGGGCTTCTAAGGCCATCGAGTCCAACCCCCCTGCTCAAGGCAGGAATCCAAATCCAAGCAGATCCGACAGAGGGTGGTCTCATTTTCTCTTGAAGGCCTCCAACGTTGGTGTGTTCACCACCTCCCCCTGAGATCATTTTTTCCGTTGTTGTACTGCTCTAACAGTTCAGAAGATTTCCCCCTCCCGATATTCAGCCTAAATCTGGCTTCTTGTAGTTTGACCCCATTATTACATGTCCTGTGCTCTGAGATGATCAAGAACAGATCCTGCACCTCCCCTGTATGACTATCTTCAAAGTCTTTGAAAAGTGCTATCAAATATCTCCTCTCAGTCTTCTTTTCTCAAGGCTAAACATTTATTTATTTATTTAATTTAATTTAATTTAATTTAATTTATATCCCGCCTATCTAGTCGATAGACCACTCCAGTTTTTTCACTCTTTCCTCACAGGGCTTGGTTCCCAGCTCCCTGATCCTCCTTGTTGCCCTCCTCTGAACTGGGTCCAATTTGTTGGCATCCTTTGTAAAGTCCAGTATCCAAAACTGGACACGGTCCTCTAGATGAGGTCTAACCAGTGCCGAAGAGAGGAGAACTAGTTCCTCACAGAATGGAGGATCTTGGCTTGAGCAACGATTCGTGTTCATTTGTACTTGCAATCTTATTTGTTCCTTGAACAACTGACAGTGTGTGCATTGGGGAATCAGAGACAGAGCTAAAATGGAGGACAGCTTTTATGGATGTTTCCATAACGCTTAAATGTCTCCCAACTGGGACAACAATTTGGGGTGGAGGCGGCTTGAATCATGGACAGAAAAGGGTGGAAAGGAAGGTGTCCCTTTGTGGGGGGAATGATATTGAAGGGATAGTAGATTGTCCTTAGAACAAGCAAGATAGAGAAGCAGAAGGTGAGTAGCTGGGTGACATTTCATGCTACCTCTTCTGCGTTCACTCTCCATCTTCCTTCCAGTGACGTATTAGAATATATTAAATTTACTGTGCCATATTAATATATGTAGTGAGATTGGGATGAGGCTGGGGACACAATCCTGATTCCCTTGCATTCACGATTTCTTCCTTGTCACAGTTATTACAAAAATGGGAGGTTTATTGTCTATGCTAAGTCAGCCAATCGAAGTCAGACCAAAAAAGGGTGAAAGGCAACAGTTTGCTGTCAAAAGCCTAATTTTTAAGTTTTGCAAGTGGCTGTTCTCAGACAGGTCCTTAGAGGTTGCTACTCATTCTTTTCATTGCTTGTTTTCGCAGAGAGAGCAGAGGAACGAGGAAGGGCAACCAGAAAGTGGGCAGTGGAGGAGAATCCATGGATTCATAGTACTGTGTTCCACTGGGCAGGGTGCCCAGCGATGCCAACATTTGGTGCTTGTCCTAGGTTTAAGCGAGGGACATAGGAGTGCCAACCTTTTTTCCCAGCAGGTCATCAGAGGAGACCTACTGGATCAGGCCAAGGGCCCCTCTAGTCCAGCTTCCTGTATCTCTCAGGGGCCCCATCAGATGCCTCTGGGAGCACCCAAGACCACCAGATCCCTGTCTCCTGATCCCTCTTCCCCTGCATCTGGCATTTGGAGGTCCCTTCCTTCTAAGCCTGGAGATGATTCATCCCCATCATGGCTTGTCACCTGCGATGGACTTTTCCTCCAGGAATCTGTCCAATCCCCTTTTGAAGGCACCTAGGCCAGATGCTCATCACCACATCCTGTGGCAAGGAGTTCCACAGATTAACAACACACTGTATAAAGATATATTTTTTGGATCTGTTCTCACTCTCCCAGAACTCCATTGGAGTGGATTTCCCCTGTTTCTGGTATTGCATGAGAGGGAAAAGAGCTTCCCTCTATCCACTCTATCCATCCCCTGCGTCAGATCAGAAGACAGTTTTGTCCAGCTAAGTGAAATGTCTCAATCCTTTCCCAGTAAACAATATGCCTAGTATTGTCTACTGGGAAATAATATATATAAAATTAGACAAGATGTCAGTATATTACAAGCGAAGTACAAAGCACCCCAGTATCAATAGATTTCCTACATATTGGGCTATAGTTATTTTAGTGGCATTTTATATACCAGGTTAGTTTGATTGTAAGCCCGAACCATTCTATTGACTGCAGAAATCATGTTAGCCAACCATACCTGTTTTTTATAAAATTCCCTACCTGGTTTGCTTTCTGGTTATCAAGAGAATTTGAAGAGATCTTGTGTACGAAATTCTAAATGAAACAAACAAAAAAAGACAACACATTTTAAGTTTATGTTTTACATATACTTACATATGTGATGGGGTACTCAGTGTGGCGAAGTGGATAAAGTGATGGCTAAAGACTCGGGCGACCAGAGTTTGAATCCCCATTTGAGTCACTGGGGGAGTGGAAATAGTAAAACCACTGAAGTGGATATAGTGATGGCTTAAGACTAGGGTTTGAATCCCCATTTGAGTCACTCGGGGAGTGAAACTGGTAAAACCACTCCTTAAATATCTCACTTACCTTGAAAACCCTATTAGAATCACTATAAGTTGGTTCCAATTTGATGGTAAAGAAAAATGTGTATTTTTACATGTTACCTTTTTTGGGCTGAAATTCTCAGAATTTTCCCAGCCAGCAAGTTTACTAGCCATGAGCAAACGGCAGTCCAAAAGAAGCAATGTTTCCAAGATTTATAGACCCATATGGACGATACATGTTTGAATATCAAATTAAATCTAAATCGATGGGTACAATTTGATAAATAGCAAAGATTATTGCACCACCTTACAGACTTTGCAACTTTAGTATGGTCTGTGGGCTGCATGGAGTGGGCTTAAGTCCACAGTAACCTAACTCCGCAAATATTTTCCAAAGTTTGTTTGGTTATTTAAAATTTCCAAAAGAAGTTAAGATCTAAAACCAAGCAATTTTGCACAGATATCATAGATTCCCCAGCTTAAATAAGCGGGTTGATTACATCTTGAAACTGGTTATCCCCGAAACTCCAACTGGCTGCACTGGCCAGCTTTTAGTCATACCTTTAAAAACACAAACATACCCTACCCTTGCTGGATCTCCATTCGTTGAAATAGACAGGTCTACATCAGTAAATCCCTAATGTATGATTTGGTTCCATACCACTGCTATTGATTACCTACACTTTTGAATTACTTCCTAGACATTCTGATGAATAAAGTTATGTTAAACATAACAAAAAGATAGGTTAGTATTAGAAATGGGGGTATTCGTCTTCGTATACGAATACCCCCATCTCAAGTTATTACACAACTTATTCCCCAAATGGCTTTTAAAAAATGGATACTCCTTTGTGACCATTTGCTGGAGAAGGGCATGGCTTAAATCCTTCGGGTGTCCCCCCCTCCCCTAAAATGAGAAAAATGTAAAGCACGGGAAACTTACTAGTTCCGTCAGGCCACTGGGGTGATCAGCGATAGCAGCTGCGTGGGATAAATAGAGAACTGACCGCTCCTTCACCGAGGGGAAACCAGATATCTTGTGTCCTTGGTAAGGTATGTGTCTTCTGTTATCCGAGTCACCAAAAACTCTCACCGTTTTCTCATCTGGAACAAAGACAGACAAGACATATTTGCTAAGACAAGTGTCCGTGTGTCACCATTGGTAAATATATTTATCTCTACATGACGGGACGTTTTAAGCCCTCCACCAGAAGAATAGCTATTTCTGGGCCTGGATCACATATGGGGTTAGCAGCTGGTACCCACTTGACCAAATATCTCTCCCTTGGCTGAATAACTCCTTGGTTTTTGGTATCTGGCTGCAGAGCCAGAGGTTGGGACTTTGATTCCCCCGTGGGTCTCCTGTGAGTAGAACCAGCCTGTGTGGCCCTGGGCAAGCTGCACAGTCCCAGGGTGGCCCCAGAAGAAAGGAACATGGAGATAATTCATTGAGTTTGGTATTTGGCTGCAAAGCTGAAGGTTGGGTGTTCAATTCCCCATGTGGTCTCCACTGGGAAGAGCCAGCCTGTGTAGGCCTGGGCAAGCTGCACAGTCCTAGAGGTACCTCCAGAAGAAGGGAAGGGTCTGTCACTTCTCTACTTAGAAAGCCCTGAAAAGGGTCGCCAGAAGTCAACATTGACTTGACAGTGCATGATTATTATTGGTGGTGGTGGAGGAGGAAATTGACCATCTGGTCGCATCTTTCAGAAGCACAATGTGTCAATTTGGTGCTGGGATTGAGGGACGAGAGTGTGGTCCTGCCAACATCTGGTATAAAAGTGGGCACTCAGGAATTGTTGACCAAGAAAGATTTTAATATTGAGTCGACATCTGAGCGACAAGGTGTTCTTTGAAATGTCTTCCTGTCCTTCTCTTAGACAAAAGGAAATGGTATTCCAAAGACCAGAGAGAGATTCTCTCCCCCCCATCAGCTATTAAAGTTCATTAAACTCTTTTCTGTACTGTCAGTTGCAAGGTTATGCAAAATCACTGTAATTACAGTAATACCAATCAAGATAATAAAAGGTATAATGGCACATTTGGCCACAGAGACCCGAGCTTTAATTGTCTCTTGTCTGGCTTCATTGTAAAGTGCTCCGCACGGAGCAGCCGTTGGAGAACATCCAGAAACTATTGCTAATGTAAAATGCAACGGCCAGCCTGTTTCTTGGTATGCATTTTACAGACATTTAGAGCACCGATCTTGAAGAAACTTCATTAGCAGGCAGGAACAAACGAACAAACAATTTGACAATAACTTCAGAGTTCCCTAGAGGGAATGCACCATATATTTTGCACAACCTATTTGCAAATACTGTAATTGGTGCTGCTTAAATCATAACTATATTGCCTTCCTCATAGGTTGCTGTCATTATCTTTAAAGTGGCTTGTAACATCCTTATTAGAGCACGCTACGAAAGGAGAAAGGGTTTTTTCTTTAAGTTAATGTGGTTTGGAGCTTAGTCCTCATTAGGTTCAACTTTCATGGAGGCTGATGTTTCGAAACCTGCTTTTTGCTGCAATCGCACGGCAACACGAATATTGAAAAGAAATACAACTTTGGGTAACAAAATGCTCACATTTACTATCCTGAACTGCTAATTACAGAGAAGCAACAGGGTTTCCCAACCTCTGAGACTTCTGGGACCATTCCTGCACCCCAGTCATTTCTGGCAAAAGCAGAAGTATGTTTATTCCACAATAAACATAATACGGTATGTGGAACATAAAGCGCATATCTTTAAACTGCTCTTCCCATAAATATCTGAGCACCCTGACCGTGGTCAATTACAACTTTAAGCCCTTTAGGAAGTATTGACAAATAACAGGGACTTTTCAAATGGAAGTTCTTATCTGAGCATGACTTTCCATGCAAAAACATTTGGAGCTCAAAACATAGAACCATAGAACCATGAAGTTGGAAGGTCGTCGAGTCCAGCTCCCTGATCAATGAAGGAAAACAAATCAAAGGATATCTGCCAGGTGGTTGTCTAAGTTTCTCTCGAATGCCACCCATGTTGGAGCACTCCTCAAGGTGTTATATCTGAGCTTTCTGTTTTCCTTCTCCCTCTCCCTCGCCTTTTCCTTTTGTGTCGCGTCTTTTTGAATTATAAACCTGAAGGAATGGGATTGTCTTCTCTTTTTTAAAATTACTGCATAAGCTCCTCTGAGCACCATTCCAGCTGTAGAGAAGGATACAAATTTGTCTCTCTCACACACATGCACACACACACACACCCCGTATTTTTCCGTGTATAAGACCATACTTTTGTCTAAAATCTTTAGACCAAAAATTGAGGGTCGTCTTATACACGAAAGTAAGCTGAGGAGAGAACAAAAAGAAGTGGAGGGGAAAGCAGGGATCAAAGCGATCCTGCAGGGCGTTGATCCCTTTCCCCCTTCACTTGCTAAGCCCCACTCAGATTTCTTAATTTTTAATTAGAAAAGGGGGGCGTCTTATACACAGAAAAAATACAGTACACTAATGCTTTTAATAAGCCTAAACGATCACACTTTTAGATCCTTTAATATAGGAATGCTACTTTTATATGGAAGTGAACGAGAGCATTTTTCTGGCATGCTTCTGCATATTTCTAAAAGAAGACTCGTGCTTGTCGTCTTACACCCATGATGAAGCACAACTGCACCTCCTTCTCTAGTATCTGCACTTGGGGAGGCAGGCTTGGGTGAAAAGCTGCCCGGGGATCCATTTATGACGGGTCTTGACATTTCTCAAAGCTCAAACAGCTGAAAATACCAAATGGAACTGTAAGAATGCCTTTCCCCTATTCTTCTATGCGTGGTACTTTTGTCATGTGCACCACTGACGGGGGAAAGAAATAAAAAAAAATCCAGCCACCCCTGGCCCCAGCGAGTCTAGGTATTTGCCGCTTGAGAGAGAAACCCGAAATACATACGTTGTGTTTTGACATTTGCGACCTTTGACTGAGAAACGGTTTTCTTTGCAAAGTCTGCTTTGATAATCCCCCTGTTTCTGCATTTCGCGGTGGGTTTTGCTGGGTGTGCCAGAGATTTCCCCGGGCCCAAGGCTTAGGCCATATCTGGATACGGTGACTTTAAAAACAAACTGTAATGCTTTTAATAAGCCTAAACGATGGACACGGTGAATTTGCTGGGTGGGCCGGCCCTACCTTTAGGTAAAGTGAGGCACTCACCTCAGGGGGCAGATGCTGCGGGGGGGGGCCCGGGGCAAGCTGCCCACACAGCTCTCCTTTGCCCCCTCTGTTTGTGTGCAACCCTAAGCTGTGGCAGGAGACACTTTTTGCTACTTTTGAAGGAAGGTTTAGGCCGGGCCGGTTGGATTCTGTACTTCAAATGGAGTGTTTTTGTGTGGGCTTATGTTCTAATGCTTTTAATAAGCCTAAACGATGGACACGGTGAATTTGCTGGGTGGGCCGGCCCTACCTTTAGGTAGAGTGAGGCACTCACCTCAGGGGGCAGATGCTGGGGGGGCAGAAACAGTGGCTAGCTGCCCCGTAGCTGGTTGCCTGGGGCCACCACTTATTTCCCCTCTTGGAAAGAGCCACACAGTTCTCCTTTGCCCCTTCGATTTGTGTGGTACCCTAAGGTGTGGCAGGAGACACTTTTTGCTAATTTTGAAGGAAGATTTAGGCCGGGCTGGTTGGATTCTGTACTTCGAATGGAGTGTTTTTGTGTGGGCTTATGTTCTCTGCTTCCAGCAGCCCAATTTCTAGAGCTGTTCGTGAGAGAGAAAGCCTCAAATTGGATATGAATTCAAGAATATGAGACCGGGAGGAAGACGGGGGAGGGCTATCTGCTACAGCTGCCTCGCCAGCCTCTGACGCTGTGGATATGATTCGTCTCCTCCCACCGCCTACTGGTAGAGCCGGCCCTGCCCGCAAAATCAAAAGATTTCGAACCACTGTAACACCCGTCCCCTTCACTATTACAGCCGCTGGAGAACCACATTAACAATTCAGCTGTCACCTACGAAACCTTGGGTTCTGTTCGTTCATTTAATTAACTTATTTATTTAAAATATTTTTAACCTGCCTTTCACCTTTTAAAAAAAGGACCCACGGTGGCTTACAACATTCAAAAGATGATATTTAAGCGAACAACAATAAGTGCAGAATACTAAAAGGATCAATGAATCCATAGCAAACAAAGACATAAGGAATACCAAAATACGTTCAGTGCAGTGAGGCACAACAATCCATTTTCAAAAAAAAAAACAAACACACAAAAAAACAACCCACCTGGCGACCATTCCCTTAAGGAAAGCTTGCCTGAAGAGAAAGGTTTTTGCCTGTTTGCAACCGGACAGTAAAGATGGGCCCAGTCTGGTCTCCTGTGGCAGGGAGTTCCAGAGTCCGTGAGAAGGTCCTCCCTCATGTCCCCACCAAATGCACCTGTGAAGGTGGTGGGACTGAGAGGAAGGCCTCTCCTGATTATCTCAGTTTGGAGAGATCCTAACTCCTTGCTCTGTTTTAAGAGAGGACACTTGAACCTTCTGGCAGAGAATTTTAAGGAACACCCCCCTCCCCCCAAAAAACGTACAAATCCCAGGGATTCCATGGGGCGGAGCTATGATAGTTTAAGTGGGATCAAATGGCTATAACGATGCAGTGTCAATACTTTCCTTGATGGTTGTGGATGTATCTAAGATTTTGCTGTTTATAGAGGATCTGGATTTGATCTATGGTACCTCCAGTTCAGAAGATGCCAGATGAAGCAAAAGATCTTAGTGGAAAGCTATCGATGAAAAGCAAAAAAAGAGAGTGTAGTATGCTGTTTATATACTGCCCCGTAGCTCTTTAAGCACTCAATTTGCTGATCTTAGAAGGCTGAGTCAATCTTGAGGTGGCTACCTGAGCCCTTTGGGAATTGAATGCAGGTCGTGAGCAGAGTTTTGACTGCGGTACTGCTGTTTAACCACTGTGCCACATGGTTCTTTCAGCTGGATAGTACAACACCTTGCTCCGCATTGAGAT